TTGAGCGTGGCTCACCCTTTATGGGAATACATTTCATGTGTGGGTTATACACTGGTGAACGACTTGTATTTGGGGCCTCAAGGATGAAGAAAAGCCAACTTGTGGCTTTTAAACCTTGTTTTGTAAAATTTTTGTGAAATTTGGTTTTGGACATGTAAATCTATGGACATGATTGTAATCGAACTTGTATTAATTATGTTTGATGCATAAATTCATGATGTTGGAGTATGAATTGAATTATATTGGACCTCGGATAGGTCATGTGATTAAATGTTACATGATTGCACAAGTTGTGTTTTGGGTAAAGCTCTTCGTACAAAAGAGATTCTGCTCNTTGAATTATGTGATGAATTTGGACATTTTATGTAATTACATGATTTGGTGTGTTGAATGCGTTTGATTAAATGCCTATGTGAAATAAAGTGTGTTAATTGCATGAAATTTTGTGAAAACATGCTTGAAAATTGTTGTTGGATGTAAATGTTAATACATGCTTATGATATATTGACATGATGAGAATTTATGAAAATTATATGCTTATGATATAATTAACCACAGTGTATGTTGAAATATGGTTGAGCTTGTTCATATGACATTCGTACAGATTGGACATAATATTGATGTTACAATTACACATTATATTGCATTTGCACAGAGACAACGAATTCATGGGCACGAGCATGAGTGTGGGGTGTGTGTACATAGTTGATCAACATTATTCTTGCTGGTTGATAAGTGAACTTGGGAAGGTTGGACCAAGGTTCAACTGAGTTGCATGGTCGTATGAAAAACTTATGTCGGGTATAATAAGTAGGGATAGATTTTTTTCTCGGGTGCAAGACCCCGATTATTGGTTTATACATTTCTTTCGGTGCAAATCCAAAAAAGTGTATCGGTATGCGGAACCAGTGGTGAGACATCAAAATCTCACTACCCAATAAAGATACATGATTTTATTTTATACAAAGACACATGATTTTGTTTTATACTAAGATACATGGTTTATTTTAAAAAGTCATTGGATGTACAACATCAATGACGAGGCCTTTGAATGCCCGATTTTATACTCATGCCATTGCATGGGTGATGAGAGCCAGTAAAGGCTCAGGTCGAAGTACATGAGTGAGTCTCATCTCATTTCATGATAATTTTTAACATTGAATTGCATATTCTTGATTGAAATGGTTGTTTGTTAAATATTGAATATGAACATTTCATATGCACTTAAGTTGGAGAGTGACCTCTTTAGGAAATACCCTATTGAGCGTGGCTCACCCTTTATGGGAATACATTTCATGTGTGGGTTATACACTGGTGAACGACTTGTATTTGGGGCCTCAAGGATGAAGAAAAGCCAACTTGTGGCTTTTAAACCTTGTTTTGTAAAATTTTTGTGAAATTTGGTTTTGGACATGTAAATCTATGGACATGATTGTAATCGAACTTGTATTAATTATGTTTGATGCATAAATTCATGATGTTGGAGTATGAATTGAATTATATTGGACCTCGGATAGGTCATGTGATTAAATGTTACATGATTGCACAAGTTGTGTTTTGGGTAAAGCTCTTCGTACAAAAGAGATTCTGCTCGAATATTGTTAAATTATGGATCCCAATAAATGGGGTATAACAATGTGATATCGAGTTACACGATATCCACAGATATTCTGCGTGTTAATTGGTTGATCAACAGGTTGACAAATGATTCCCAATTTTTAGGGTGTCATAGCTAAAGGGACACGGGTGTCTAGTCGTTAAAGGGTGTGAAAATAAATTAAATCTAAGACATCTAGATTATCATATGTCAAACTCAATAATTGAACCACCATTAAAAAATTCAATGTAAATCATTTAAATTTTACGACTTATCTTATTCCTTGCATTTTAACTTTTTCAACTTAATAACTCTTTCTATTCATTTAATCGTAGTAAAATATTTAATAACTCACATTTCCCAACACCTTTGAATTCCCATCTAAACCAAAGAGTTCGAGAAAAAAAGACTGAGTAGAATAAAATTCGAAAAAAGATTCACTTATTGATCGACTAAAACATGCCGGTCTAAAGAGCTTCCTTACTAGCGATTCCCAAATAGTAGAAGAATGAAATAAGATGATCAACAAATGACTCTGGGTGGAAAGTCAACCACATTAAAAAAATAAAAAATCTAATTTATGAATTTAATCGATTATAGTTATTGAATCAAAAGTGTGATTCATAATCTCACAATTGGTTTAACAGTTGCATTGAATTAAATCCTCAAATTAGATCACTATAGTATTGGTCTTAAAAAAAAAAAACTTGTTTTGTCAATAATGACGCTCATTGACCATATGAATATGATTAGTCATTTTCTAAATGTATCAACATTCAACGCTATATTAAACTCAAATTTGTATTGTCATATAAAAAAATGATAAAATATAGAGAGATTCTTTTCATAATTCGAGTTAAACACAAGTATGATACACATTTTAAATGTCTGCTTTAACAAACTAATTAATCATGACCCCTTATTTATTACATAAGCATAACTAATTTTTTTTCTATATTTGGTAATCATAACTAATCATGACCCCTTATTTTTTTTCTATAAGCATTCCAATCTTGTTTCGTATAAAAACCATTTATGAAAAATAGAAAAAGTTGCAAACCAAAAGTTATATTCATAATAGGGATTGAATATGGTATCAAAAAAAAAAAAGGTATCGTATATTCAAAATTTATTATTTTAATGGATATTTTTTTTAACTCTTGTGAGTCATTTTACAACAAAAAAATTTATCACTTTTGTGGTGTAATTTATTGTATTTTTAGGCATTTTTATAACTGTTATAGTAATAATTTTTACTATTTTTATTTAATATTACAATTATAATAAAAATATTCATAAATATAATAAATGTCAATTCGATAACAAAACACGGTTCTTTCTTCGTAATAATTCGAATCTATGAAGGTTGTTGTCTGAGTAATTTTCTATCCTGCCGCAACATGGGGCCCAGAGCTTTCATTATTACTGTCTCTTTAATTGTAGTCAAGTTACTTGTCAATATTTATATTCAACAATTACTTGTCAATATTCATATTCAACAATCATGCGCCATAACCCCATATACACTAGATTCCGCGTCATTACTAGTCGTATTCATGTAATGGACTCTTCATTTATTGTAAGTAAAATATAAGTAGGTAATTAAAATATAAATAAATTAGTTATTGTCAATATCTAAATATATAAAATAATAAAAAATAAAAAATAATAAACATATTTATATTCATATTTAAAATCAAATCATAAATATAGAGGAGAGAAAAATAAATTTAAGCATTAGTTGTAGTGGGGATAAAAGGTGGTGGGCGACAGTGGTGGTAGTAGGAGACGATGATGATTATGATGGGTGACAATGACTATGATGGCGGCGGCGACGGCGGCGGTGGTGGTAGTGGTAGAGGTAGTGGTGGTGGGGATGATGGTGATAGAGGTAATGGTGGGGCGATTCTAAATATATTTTTTTTAAAATACTTATGAGAAATAATTCTTAAAAATACTTTTAAAAAGTCACTCCAAATACACCCTTAGGGGCTTATTCTTCATATTAAATTTAGGGTATTAATATTAGTCGTTAGACTAATTTTAAAATAAATTTAAAGTGATCTGAACCGCGAAAAATAAAAGTCATTTTGTTTATCTTTTAAAATTAAAATTGTAAGCTACTTTATTATATTGATGTTAATTATTATTAATATAAGCCGAGTGATTAAAATATTNACTATTACTGTCTCTTTAATTGTAGTCAAGTTACTTGTCAATATTCATATTCAACAACCATGCGCCATAACCCCATATACACTAGATTCCGCGTCATTACTAGTCGTATTCATGNATAATAGAGAGAGAAACAGTCAATTTTGAGTAAAATATTACATTTTGACCCCCAAGCGACACGAGCTGGTTTGGAAGGTTGGTTGTACCGGACCAAAGCCAATTGCAATTCCAATTCCCATTTCGCCACCTCTCTCTCTGGGACCGTCTGGTAGAGAAGACCCGCACGTACCTCTCTCTCTCTCTCTCTCTCTCTCCCTCTCCACACACACATATATATCATATGTGTGTGTATATNATAATAAAAAATAATAAACATATTTATATTCATATTTAAAATCAAATCATAAATATAAAAGAGAGAAAAATAAATTTAAGCATTAATTGTAGTGGGAATAAAAGGTGGTGGGCGACAGTGGTGGTAATAGGAGACGGTGATGATTGTGATGGGTGACATGACTGTGATAGCGGCGGCGACGGCGGTGGTGGTCTGAACCGTGAAAAAATAAAAGTCATTTTGTTTATCTTTTAAAATTAAAATTGTAAGTTACTTTATTATATTGATGTTAATTATTATTAATATAAGCCGAGTGATTAAAATATTTGTGAAAATATAGTAAACTATTAATAACTACTTAGTAAAAAAAGAGGACATCATAACCTACATTTTCTTCTTTTATTAATAGTAGAGATATATGCGAGAGATCATTAAATAAAAATAGTTTTGTTTGATAAAATTTAAATAAAAATATTAATTATTACAAAATAAAAGATAAGGTTTTAATTTGATTTGATAAAGTTATAAAATACGAAGATTTAATATCTAACTTAATATTAGAATCTAATTATTTGTAACTCTTATTTTTTTTTAATCGGATATTATTAAATTAAATAAGAATGAAAATGTTGGAATGCGCGACTGCCGTACTATATTATAATAATAGAGAGAGAAACAGTCAATTTTGAGTAAAATATTACATTTTGACCCCCAAGCGACACGAGCTGGTGTGGAAGGTTGGGTGTACCGGACCAAAGCCAATTGCAATTCCAATTCCCATTTCGCCACCTCTCTCTCTGGGACCGTCTGGTAGAGAAGACCCGCACGTACCTCTCTCTCTCTCTCTCTCTCTCTCCCTCTCCACACACACATATATATCATATGTGTGTGTATATGACTGTGTGAACTTCGCACGTTTTTGTATTTGATATTCGCTCCGTGTTATTTCAATTTTTTTGCCTTGGACAGATAGAGTTGAGGAGCTGGGAGCCGAGGAGGAGCGAAATGACCAGAATGCCACTGAGCTTCCCGTCGATCGACATCGGAGGACTCTCGTCGAATTGGTGGGACGAGATCAACGAGTCGGTTAAATGGCAAGATGGGATCTTCTACGCTCTATGTGCCGCCTTCGCCCTTGTCTCCTCTGTTGCTTTGGTAACACACATGCACACACACCATGTTTGTATGTGTTCTGGGTGTGAGAATTGAATCTGTAGTGATGTTGTGGATTTTGTTTTGGTTGGTTTCTGAGAAAGGACTAGAATTTAGTTTCTCAATTTAAGGATTTCCAATCTGGTTGGAGCTGATAAAACTAGGTCTCATTTAATTGTGCTTTATGGGACGTTGCTTGGTTGAAGTGATGGTTTATATAAGTTACTTTATGCAAGTTTACATAAAATTGAGATCTTAGAATTGGACTTGGGGAATAATAAGTTCAAATTTGAGGTAATTATTCATCAAATCCATCGTCTAAACCCTGCCTTCCGGAACTTGAAAACAATATTGGAAGACTACCCAAATGGATGTTAGGGTTTGACTAATTGTATCTTGGAGTGGTAACAAAATTGTTTCTTTAATGCTTATACATCATTTGGGAGCTTGGATTTCATTTATTGGAATTGCTGTTGGAAAAAACTTGTTTAGAATTACAACTGCTGTGGATTTCAATCCCAATTTCAAGGCATGGTATTCTTGCCTTATATGGGATTTATTATAGCGAGTTAATCATTAAAGGAGAGGAAAAAAATACTCCATTACCCCATATTTTATGTTCAAATTAGTAGGTTTTGTGTAATATGTATATATGCTGCTAAAACGTGTTCCTGCTGAAATGATTAATGTTTTTTCCAGACAATTAATGATAGATAATGTGCATTTTTGTCCCCTTAATGTGCATTTTTGTTGATTTGTCCATTTGTTCTTAGTTTTCACTTTATCCTCAGTTCCCCCCCTCCACACCCCCCC